GGCATTCCTTAAGCTGTGCTGATCTCCAGCTGTTATTCCAGCTTTATGAGACTATTAATGGCCAATGTAAATTAGAATAGATTTAAGCTGCTCTAACTAAGTGCATGTGGAGTAGAGCTCTGGCTCTTCAGGTGGGTTGGCTTTGATACAGGGACTTCAGGACTAGGAACGTGCAAAGGTGAATGTTATACTATTTTTGCACTTGCCCTCACCATATACTTGCCCTTGATGGACTAGAACAGTGGTTCTCAAACCCTTTTTTCGCGGACCACTTGAAAATTGCTAAGGGTCTCGGTGGACCGTTTAATAAACTTTTTTTTGTTCTACAAATCAAAGCACACAACTCATATTTTAATATCAGTAGTCTTACCTTACAAGTACAGATATTCTCAGTTGTTCCGCAACTTTTCTGTGGACCTGAATGGAGCTCATGGACCAGTGGTGGTCCATGGACCACAGTTTGAGAACCTCTGGGCTAGAGTATTTTTGGACCCTCCAAACAGCTGACTCTAGTTATCTTTAACAGGGATTAGCAACTCTTATAATTTTTAAGATGCCATGGTGATGGGGGCCATATAAGAACACTGATAGATAGATTAAGTTAAATAAAACAAACCTGTAAATCCAAATAAACTAAAGGGACTTGTTCATGACAAGTCATGATCCAGCTGGGTAATCTGATAGGATGTTAGGGGTTACCATAACTGAAATTATTTTCTAAAAGATGCTTTGAACAGATTCACCCTTTCCCACCTCCCAACAATTTTGAATAATATTCTCCATGCCCCTCCCTAAATCAGATGGGTTATTCTTCTTGTCTTTTGCTTGGAATTATCTTTGAAAATTCATAAAATCATAGTAAAGCAGGGCAGGAAGGGACCTCTGGAGGTCATCTACTCAAACCCCCACTCAAGATAGGATCATCCCTGTCCACACCATCCCACACTAGTCCATGTCTAACCCGTTCCTAAAACTATACAAACAACCCAGCTGCACAGCTACAAGGCATGTTGCCCAGAGACACCAAAAACACCCTAATCGGCCGCAGGCAAAGCAGCAGGCCATGGATTGCTAATGTCCCACTGCTGAAAGGATTGTTAACATACACTCAAGAGATCCAAAGAGGGCCATGGACTCTGCTGCAGAAGCCCATCTCCTCACCCCAGCCTGTACCTATCTGACCATGGGGTAAAATTCCTTCCTGACCCCAAATGTGGTGATTGAGCCAATCCTGAGTAAAAGGGAAAGACCCTCAGGAACACTGGCACACCCTAGTGTCATTTTTGATGATTTTTTTCCCAAATCTTTGCACAATGGAAATGAATGTACAGTGCATTATTTTTAGTTCTATCTAGTAATTAAAACTCAACACCACCTCAGATTCCAACTCGCTCCTCTTCCTATTTCTTTCTCTGGCATTAATAATCTTTCTTAGGAAATATTACGCATTACATACCTATAGCTTATGATATTTGTTATCACCTAAGCAACACCTAAGTGCATGCTGAGATTCCAGAACAAGAGAGGCAGGAGGGTCACTAAGAGCACTTGCTAAGCTCATAAGCATGGTAAGCTTCTGATATTGACTCTAGATACGGACTGATGTTTGACTCAAGAAGGAAACTGGTACCTTGAGTTTCAGAGAGTCGGTATCGTATGGGCTAGGTGTAAAATCTGTGTGAACCCTGGCACGTCCACAAAAAGGTCCCCTGTATGGAGGCTCTTCATCATCCCCATCTTCAGACTTGACGCTCTCTCTGTTGCTGGCCGAAGAATCTGTTGTACTCACAGTCTGACCACCTGTGTGCGTGGGGTGGAAGAGCAGTTTAAAAAAAAGTACAATACTTGAGGGAAAAGCTTAATTGACAGTCAGAGCTGAGAAAAGCACTGGTTAGAGCCAGCCAGAGTCCATGTCCCTTTCCTGTAAAAATTTTTGACAAAATGAAAACGCACCAGAAAGGCACCAGAGATGTGAAATTCAAGTACCTCATTCACCTAGGTACCCAATTCACCCTCTCTAGACTAGGGATCTTTGGCTAGACTGAATTTCTCAAGATGGACTCTGTGTCCTGTGACAGTGAGGGGAAGTGGCTGCATAATGGTGATACACCACTGGAGATGCGTTTGACTGGGAAACTGAATTGTGACTCATAGAATAATAGGATTGAAAGAGACCTTAAGAGGTTGTCTAGTCCAACCCTCTGCATGAAAGCAGGATGTGTTATTCATAAACAATCCCTGGAACATGCTTAATCAGCCTCTCCTTGAAAACCACCAGCGAAGGAGATACCACAATTACCTGGGGAATTTATTCTACTGCCTTACTATTCTTACAGCTAGGAAGTTTTTCAGAGAATCTGAGACTGAATCTGCTTTTTTGCAGTTTAAAGCCTTTGCGTTTTGCCCTCTGTAGCAAGGCAGAACAGTTGTTCCCCCCTCTTATTTATGGCAATCTTTCTAATATTTGAAAACTACTATCACGCATGCCCTTTATCTTCCTTTCTCCCACCTCAATGCATCTAGCTCTCTCAACCTTTCACTGTATAACTTACATTCCAACACCTTTATCATCTTTGTCTCCTGCCTCTAAATTGTCTCCAATTTCTACCCATCCTTCTCAAAATTTGGTGCTGAGAACTTCACACAATACTCCACCTGAGGCCTAACCTGCATTGAGCAGAATATTACATACCATATTCCAATGACTGCAGCCCCACATTACATCTCCTTTTTCTATTGTAATCTTATCACATTGCTGACTTATGTGGAGTCCACCACAACTCCTAGATCCTCCTCAGCATGGCTACAGTCAGCCCAGTTATCTTCTACTCTGAATTGGTCATTTTGTTTTTCTTCCTAGCTATAAAGCTTTAATTTGCCTTTGTTGGATTCCATTCTGTTGTCTAGGGCCCAGTTCTCCAAACCATCAAGATCCTTTTGAATGCTAATCCTATGCTCCAAAGTGTTTGCAAGCCCTCCCAGTTTTGTGTCATATGAGGGAATGTGGTGAGATTGGTTTTTCGTTAAAAAACAATTTTCAGGTTGTAATTTGTTTACTCCAAAAAACCATTTCCATTAAAAATAATGTGCATGGAAATGTTTCAGCTAGACTTAAACACTTGTGCCTCCCATTAAGTGCTTTGGGATGCACAGGCCTTTTACTGTTAGGAAAATGCAACAGCTTCTAGTAAGACTAATGCCAAAAACTCCCACACAAGGATTATTACCACATCATCTCCAGCATTCTATTGGCCTTTACTAGTTACTAGCTTCTGGTAGGTGAAATTCACTCTACATGGAAGGCCAGCACTATATATAGGGCCTACTTACACCCTGTTTTAAAGTTAGAGACATTTGACGCAATCCTTTCTCGAAGGAGACCAAGATCTCACAGGAGCAGGTTATCTAACTTTTGCCCCTTGAACAATGAAGGATGTTGTGGGGGAGAATCCAATGAAAAGATTTGATCATTCTCCGACATGCTTTGATCCCAAATGAACCAAGCAGTCATACCCTGGTTCTGGAAAAGCTACTGGTGAAACATTGTAGCTGTCACTGATATTATTTACTTTTGTTATAGCAGAGCCTGGAAGCCCAATTCATGGAAGCAGGATCCCCATTTTTCTAAACTCTATTTAAAACACAGAGCAAAAAAAGATGGTCCCTGCTCCAAAGAGCTTTGCAACAGTTCTAAGAGAAAAGCTGCTGCTTATAAGTGCTTAATGATTTGCCCAGCTGCACTTCTGCTTGTGACTCTTCTTGTTTGGCTATGCTCTATTTTATTTACTCTGAAAACCTCTATCCCCTGCAGCAACAAAACAAAATGATGCAATTACAATTGAACTTACTCATTGAGCTCTGACCACTTAAGGAGCTCCTTAGGCTTTCCACTGAACCACCAGCTTTCAGCTTGGGCTTATCCAGAGAATCAGTGTCTGGCTGTGGTGACTGTGGAGAACCTGGCAATACATCAGGGCTGGAGTCCTGAAAGAGATTTGAACCATTTCAGATGGCAGATTCTCACAGATATTGCATACATCTGAGAGGTACTTATTTGAATTGGTACATATTCTACTGCATAGTACCAGGAAGGGAGAAATTTTTATATTTGTTATTTATGGGCTACATTATGATGTTCCCAGATGACATCATTGGTATCCCATCAGGTGAGGAGCTATATAAACATAAAGCAGGAGACAGTCCAGTCCCATTGAACTTAAAATTGTAAGTAGAGAAGACAAAATAAAGATAGCACACAGGAAACATTATTACTCCCAATTTACAGATGGGGATTGAGGATACAAGAGAGATTAAATAACTGTCCAGGATGTCTGGGACATAGCTGGGCACTGAACTTCCCGACTTCCAGTCTAGTGGCCTGGTATAAAACCATCCTTCATTTATTTGTTTGTTTGCTCTCATAGATGTACTAAGGTGTAGGTGGCCATTTTACATACTATTTTAAAAAAGAAATAGAAGTATCTTGTCTTATTCACTGGAAAAACATTTGAAAAACCAGCAGGGAATATTTAATCTTTACACAAAACTCACAACTCAGAAACTGCAAAATAAAGATACTAAATATTCACAATGAATGTGTTTACCAAACTGTTAACTGAATCAGGAATTTACATATGATTCATACAAATTAGTAGCACCGTGTATAACGGACAGGATTGGAAATTAAGTTTCCTGCAACAAAGTACTAACTTTCTTTTTTGTTCATATACCTAAAGAGAAAAACAAATAACTAGGAAATGAAATGTAGGCATAAAGAAAATACAGAGAAAGCAAAAACATTTTGCCATGTATACAGTAGGAGAGAAAATTTAAGTTTTCATTCACTCAAGCAATATAGCGAATCTGAAAGTCTCTTTATCCAGGCTGGAGTTGTGACAGCCTAGCTGAAGAATGGCTAAAGCAATCTGGTAGCTATTTGCTGTCAGAGCAGGATTTGCTTGTTTTGAAACACAGGCTGGTGGTACAGAGGCACTTAGTTTGAGAAATGATGCCACAAAGATAGATAGTTCAGTATTCAAAACTGTCTGCACTAAGAAATTAAAACATAAAAACAACCAACCCTTACTGATTTACAAGTCTAGTTAGCATTTTCCATAGATGTGCAGTCACAAAACCATCTAAATGAAGCCTATTATTTTTATGCTGCAGAATCATCAGAAAATATCTTTCCAGCATGCGACTCCACAGGTCAAGGGGATCTCTGGAGCACAAGTCACAGACTGCTAATCTAATACGCACACATTTTTTTTCCTCATTTCTCTTTATCTTTAGCATAGCGAAAGTGCCATTCTAAGGGTTTCTGGGCCTCAAATCATATATTTCAACTTCCATAATGCAGCAGGAAATGTTTTATTACTGCAGCTCAATATTATTTTTTTAATTGAAATGCTAATTTCTAAAATGAAAATTAAAAAAAAAAATCTCATTCATGAGTAACACTGGCTTCATTTGTCTGTTGGAAGGGGACTCCCTCCATGACCTTATATTGTGTATGATTGGGAAGAACATCATTCTGAATTCAATGAATGTAATATTTTTATTATTACTATCATTTAACATTTATACTGTGGTAGTCCCGAAAGGTTGGGCCATTTTGTGCTCAAGTAACAATACTTGATATGAGCTACAGGTCTGCACTCTCTACAGGTACACAAAGAGTATGAGTTACTACAGTCTTGTTTCTTCAGCTTAAGCTTTTATCTCTAGAGGTCTTCCACACAGTTCCCCTACACATGACCAAGTTGGCAACTGTCATAATAATGTATAAGATATCAGTCACTGCCATACAAGAAGTTACAACTCAAAATACACATGAGGTACTAATAAGGCTGGGTCAAGATACAGAGAAGATCCATTCACAGGGATTGCCAAATAAGTGACTCTGCTTAGAGGTACTGTTTCTTCAGCTCCACTCTGAACCTCACACTGATTTTTTTTCTCTCTCTCTTTCTTGGTAAGTGTTGAGCCAAGTGTGTGGACTGTTCTCAGGAACTTCAGGAAACATGAAGTAACTTTGGGAAGCACCAAACTGAGTGACTCAAACAGGACAGAAAGCAACATGCTGTTTCCTTGCCCAAAGGACATAAGAAGAAAAGGATGACAACAATCTGCTCCTGTTTTGTACCAAGTTTTCAAAAAAGGATGCTACAAAACTGTTATAAAGGCATATTTGTTCCTTCTCTCCAAGTGTTCTCCTTTCTAACCTCAAGGCTAGGCTAATGCATTGTGCTCTACAGAAGGCTACCTTTGAAAATGGTATGGAGGCTACTGCTGATGCATAATGCAGCGGCCTGCCTTCTGATGGACTGCATTACCAGAAGCACTTAACTCCATTTCTCCAGTGTTTGCACTGGCTCCCAATAGTGTTCCAGGTGCAATTCAAGGTGCTGATTTTGACCTACGTGGCTCTAAATGGTCTGGGCCTTACATACCTAAGGGACCACCTTCTCCCTTGAGCTACAGCATGATCCCTAAGGTTGGTTGGAGGAATCTCTTGCGAGAGCAACCTGTTGAACTCCCTCCCTTTGAAGCCTGCCAGACTGTAAGCTTGGACATCTTTTGGAAATGCTACCAGAACTTCCTATTTGGGCAGGTATTTAGCAAACAAAGCTAGGCTGAGATGTTTAGTGGGTCTCTTTTACTTTGATATCGCAGACGTCCTTTTAAGTTGTTTTGTTCTCTCACCCTCAGTCACCCTATGGCTTTGTTAGGATGGACAGCATATACATTGCATAAATAAAAATAAATAACTACATTTCTCAGTCCTGTCAAAGATAAGTTTCATGGACTGCTGATTATTAAATGAACACTAGAGGGAGATATTTGTTAGACTTTGGTTTCCCAGCAGCTTTGTAAACTATTACGCAT